CATCAAAGGACACTGAGGCTGCTGTTCAAAGAAAAGCATTAAAAACATAACATCGTCTGCCTGTAAAATGGACCCAGAACACAGTGATGGACAACGACCCCTCACCCCCAGGTCTCACCCCTCACCCTCACCCTCACCCCCAGGTCTCACCCCTCACCCCCAGGTCTCATCACAGCCAACATACCAGTGCTTTGTCCCAGGATGCTGGCCAGGTGAGGTTGGATCGGTGCCAGCTCTGACATCATCACCCCACTGGGGAGGGGTTGGGGGTTCAAGTCCCCTCTAGCCCAGCAGCAGCAGCAGGAACCTAAGGCAGACGAGAGAGAATGGATGACTCATGTGTTCCTCCCCCGTCATCAGGGGACTCTCTCTGGGCTCGGCTATAAATCCTTTCACAGGGGGCGGGGGTGGGGGGGGGGTAAACATGTGATGAGAAGGAAGAGAGTTTCAGCAGCAGCAGGTGGAACCAGACCGGACCAGATCGTCCAGATCGTCCAGATCCAGGTCCAGGTCCAGGTCCCAGACTGAACCGAGACCAGAAATGATTACAGTGGTCAGTTGGTGCAGGACAGAGTGACCTCACTGGTGACATCACTGGTGACATCACTGGTGACATCACTGACAGAGAGACCGTGTTCACACACTGTTCATCGTCTCACTCCACAGACCACATGTTGGACCACCGCCTCTGATTGTCCTCCACTCAGCCCTCTGTGCATTCATTCTTTAGCTCTCTCTCTCTCTCTCTCTCTCTCTGAAGTGAATACTTGACTGTCTGACTCCATGACATCACACCATAACAGGACAGTCGTACAGACAGAACAGACAGTATATATATGTGGGGGGGGGGCTATAAGTTTATATTATTTATTTGATAAACTCACTCACAGGTTTTGTTGACATTTTCTTCCTATGAAACAAGATGAGTTTGACAAACAAACCAACAAACCAACAAACCAACCAACCAACAAACCAACCAACCAACAAACCAACCAACCAACAAACCAACCAACCAACAAACAAACAAACAAACAAACAAACTAACTAACAAACCAACAAACAAACAAATCAACAATCAAACAAAAAAATCAACAAACAAACAAACAAATCAACAATCAAACAAACAAATCAACAATCAAACAAAAAAATCAACAAACAAACAAACAAACAAACTAACTAACAAACCAACAAACAAACACACAAACAAACCAACCAACCAACCAACAAACAAACAAACAAACAAACAAACAAACCACCAAACCAACAAACCAACAATCCAACCAACCAACAAACCAACAAACAAATCAACAAACAAACAAACAAACAAACAAACAAATCAACAAATCAACAAACCAACAAACAAATCAACAAACAAATCAACAAACAAACAAACAAATCAACAAACCAACAAACAAATCAACAAACCAACCAACAAACAAACACACAAACAAACCAACCAACCAACCAACAAACCAACAAACAACCCAACCAACAAACCAACCAACAAACCAACAAACAACCCAACAAACAAACAAACCAACAAACAAATCAACAAACAAACAAACAAACAAACAAACAAACAAACAAACAAATCAACAAACAAACAAATCAACAATCAAACAAAAAAATCAACAAACAAACAAACAAACAAATCAACAATCAAACAAACAAATCAACAATCAAACAAACAAATCAACAAACCAACCAACAAACAAACCAACCAACAAACAAACAAACAAACAAACCACCCAACAAACAAACAAACAAACAAACCACCAAACCAACAAACCAACAAACAAACAAACAAATCAACAATCAAACAAACAAATCAACAATCAAACAAACAAATCAACAATCAAACAAACAAATCAACAAACAAACAAATCAACAATCAAACAAAAAAATCAACAAACAAACAAACAAATCAACAATCAAACAAACAAATCAACAAATCAACAAACAAATCAACAAACAAACCAACAAACAAATCAACAAATCAACAAACAAATCAACAAACAAACAAACAAACAAACAAATCAACAAACAAATCAACAAACCAACAAACAAACAAACAAACAAACAAACCACCAAACCAACAAACCAACAAACCAACAAACAAACAAATCAACAATCAAACAAACAAATCAACAAACAAATCAACAAACCAACAAACAAACAAATCAACAATCAAACAAACAAATCAACAATCAAACAAACAAATCAACAATCAAACAAACAAATCAACAATCAAACAAACAAATCAACAAACCAACAAACAAACAAATCAACAATCAAACAAACAAATCAACAATCAAACAAACAAATCAACAATCAAACAAACAAATCAACAATCAAACAAACAAATCAACAATCAAACAAACAAACCAACAAACCAACAAACAACCCAACCAACAAACCAACCAACCAACAAACCAACCAACAAACCAACAAACAACCCAACCAACAAACCAACCAACAAACAAACAAACAAACAAATCAACAAACAAATCAACAAACAAATCAACAAACAAACAAACAAACAAATCAACAATCAAACAAACAAATCAACAATCAAACAAAAAAATCAACAAACAAACAAACAAATCAACAATCAAACAAACAAATCAACAAACAAACAAACAAACAAACAATTCAACAGTCTGGTGTGAATCCACAGCAGAAGGTGGAGAGAATGTTGTGACATCATCAGGGCCAGAACAACCAGGGCAATAACAGGAAGAAGACGACCGTGTTTATCTGGTCACCACGACCTCGTGGACAGATATGATGTAACGTCGTCCTGTTTGTGTCTGACCATGTTTGGTCACTAGAGAGCGCTGAGTAACAGCACGGATCTGAAGGTGGGGTTTGGTGAATGTTCAGATGAGACGTTTGTCTGTGGGTCTGTCTGTCTGTGGTTCAGACTGTCTGTGGTTCCTGTGGTTCAG